GGGGCCTGCTTCGCCGGGCCGGGGGCTGGAGGGCGGCGTTCGGCCAGGTGCGCTTGTGCGGGGCGGGCGCCGAGCCCCGGCTGCTTGTGGCCTCTCGTCGTCCCTATACCTAAAGCAGGGGACGGGTGGTCTTGTCGGAGCGTGTTGTCCGCAATTTGTGTAGTTATTGGGTAACTTGAGGTTTCCTCATCAGAAGCTTGGCTTGGCAATAATTCACCTCCTTTTTTTTTTTTTTTTTTAAATGCTGTTATCTTATACAGTCAGCCATACTATTATCACCACTGCATTTAGGTGGTGACGTTTATTTTTTTGATTTTGGAAGACCATCTGGTAAAGAAACGCGGTTTGTTACAGGGAAGTTGCTGTAGTAGCAGTGCTCAAGTATTTTGTCTGCTGCATTCTTAACCCTCCTGGCAGCTCTGTTATTAGCTTCCAGGATAAGAATGAATGCCAGAGAAAACTGTTGATTCATCCAAAATGTAGAGCTCTTCTCCCGTGGCTCTTCGTTATTTCACATCTTCAACATTTTTTAGGTGTCTTGATTAGTGAAGGTTTTAAATACAACTCTAAGTGCAAGTACTCAGATTCATCCAAAGTACTCAAATGAATCATGAGAAATAAGTTGATATCTCTTATGCTGGGTTCTTTCTATCATAGGAATATGTATAGTAGTCCTTTAATAACTAATCTGAAGATAAGAAATTACCATTATGTAAACTTTCCCAGCAAGTAAACATAATGTGATCAGCAGTTTTGTGGATGGAAGAGTCAATAACTAGATAAGTCAAAACCGAATATTTGCCTGATGATGTTTATATGAAACTTAAATGCTTTGTTTCTGTCTTAATGGATTTGATTTGTTGAGTGACCGGTGTTGATGCTTAATAGCGTATTCATTCCGCTTTCTTGAAGCTCTTCCACAGCAAATTATGTCTTTTGAATACTTCATCTTCAGGTCCTTGCTCATGTATGTAGGATCTCAGATGCATACTTCTTGTCTGCCTTCCAAGTACTTTTTGCCCTGCAGTGCGAGTCATTCATAGGGAATTTTTAGTATACCAAACTGGTATGTGCTTGCCTTGCAGAAGCAAACTCGATTTTGGGCTGTATAATCAGCCATGTTCTTTTTATGATGTTAAATATGTAGTAGAGAAAATACTGGATTACATGAGATCTTTGCAGAAGCACTGAAAATTATTTTCCTTATCTGAGCTTCTTATCTGTTTTCCTTATCTGAGCTTCTCTCCAGTGATGATCTGAATAAACGTTAGACTTGCTCTGGTCAAGAATTAACATTTTCTTTTAATAGAAAAAATCCATTGTGCTTTGATAGTTGATGGCTCTTGTCATTTGGAGGACATCACTGTATGACTTTTGATCCTTGGACGTGATCTGGGCTGCTTTTAGTTGTAAGGCATTATTAAGGAATTTTTTTAATTATTATTTTAGTACTGTAACTGATTCCTTAGTATGGATGCTTCTGTAATGGTGCCAGTGATCTGATTATTACAATGGTTTTACTGTTGGATAGTAAGCTGTAAAATATTTGACCAGAAAAGGTTCAATGCAGCAGCCAGTTGCAGTTCTTTATATACGCTGTTTCTTGGGCAACAGTAGGGGTATTTGATGAAAAACTTGTGGAAACCACCTTTGCAGCAGATCTTTTCCACTAACATTTTTAGGATAAGATTGTTTTTCAGACTCTATGATGCAGTGTCACCAAAATTTGGGAAGGACAGATCTGACATGTCACTGGATTGCCTGTCATATTTGATCAAACACATGCTCACAAATGAAGAAGCAATATTTTTTTTGCCATCCCAGTTACACTGTACATCTCTTCAGGTGGTGTTAGGACCAAAGTTTATGTTGCAAAAGCCCATCCTACAAATGAGGTGGCCAGATTCAAGTTTCAGGAAAAAAAATTATGATTTTGTGAGAGGCTTGAAGAATTGCTGGACTTTTTTCAGATGTCTTAAGATTATTTATTTAGCAAGTTTTGTTGGTTTTTTTTTGTTTGGTTTTGTTTTGTTTTTAAGATTTTGGTGTTGCCAGTTTAGGGGCATGTCCATATTTAGTCTTGGGACCAAAAGATAGCACAACTTTAAACATCTGGAGCTGTTTAGCTTTCACAGCTGTATCTTACAATGATAAGATTTTAGATGCGTTTACTATTCATATTCTTGAATGTATCAAACAGAACTGGTCTGTATGCAAGTATAGACACTGACCTCTTCATTCAGAGACAGCCAGAATTTCTGACCACGCTGAACTCCACCTCAGAGCACCTTCTGCCTTGACAGCTGAGTGAAAGAAGAGCTGTAGGCAGACTTCACGGATGGAAGCTGAAGATTCAAACGGCTCTTTGGTCGTTAGGCTCCTTTGCGGGACTGCTTGTGAAGCTTCTGGGACAACTCGGGGATTTTTGCAACCCATGCCAGCATGTCGGGTTATCCATTGGTTCACATTTGAAACGTGCAAGAGCTGTGTCTGAAGGACCTGCAAGTCACATGCAGTTTGGGAGCTGCAGTTTGGCTTTCTGTTTTGGATGGATACACATGCATTTTTGTGTTAATTAAGATTCCTTATATGAAAGATTACCCTTCACCTTTTTTAAATGTGATGTCTTTAGAAAAGAGGGAAGGTTTTCATTTTCTTGGAGGTCCCTGAGGGAAAACAAAATATTTTGGGGGGTTGTTTTAGGTGGTGGTTTTGTTTTGGGTTGTTCTTGTGTTTGTTGTTTTTTTTTTTTCCCCAAAGCCATTGCTTTTTGCTTGTCATGTTACAAATTTAAGTTTTCGCTGTTGTTGCAAAGATATTTTAAAACTAGTGTTACCAACCAGTGTGGGAAGAATTCTTAAATATCCTTTAGAGCTATTTGTGTTTTGTAATTGTCTTAGCCCACAGACTTTTAGAGAGACCTGTAAAAATGCATTAAGAAGAAGGAGGAAAATTGCACAGTAATCAGACTTGGAAGATTCTGTAAATCAGTGTTCAGTTATAAAATCTTGGTGATTCTTCACATTCCTTTACTATTTTCAGGTTAAAGTATATGATGTCATATGTGTGTGATCAGTGGTCAAGAGGTTTTATTAAATAGTTGCAGTTATCAGCATGTCTTTTTATCTTTATCCCCGAATGCTTAACCTAGTGAGTGATACCCATTGTCATAATGTAGATGTCACAGTTATGCCAAGAAAACACAATTTTCTCCTGAAAATGATGTACAAATGTTAAGCTCTTCTCTTTGTACTTTTCATTGATGTTTTCACTGAATGCACTACAGTTGCAATGTGTCTTATTTCGATAGTGAAACATTTCCGATACTAAATTTTTTTCCCCATTTTTATTTCATCTTTAAGATCTTATGTATTGGCAAAACTGTTTTGCATTGTAGTGCAGTTTAAAGTTTGTGCAAATTAATGCTTCAGAAAACTTGGAGTGAGCTAATTGAAGGCACCGACTTTCAAGTGCTAAAGTCTTCTTTAATACTGGAAACAACCATAATGATAAAATTATGGTATGCTACGTACAACACATTCTTCTGTATATGATGTTGTAAAATAAAGTACACAGGTCAGTAAGTTGTAGACATTCAGGTGCTAAGGTTATTAAAGTATCATAGAAGGTAAAAGGGTGATCTGTGTAGTTAGAATCAACTCCCTGTATAGAAAGAACACTTGATCTTGTCCGTAAATTTCACGTTACATTATCACTATTAGGAAATTGTATTCTTGAATGTCTTCATTAGGTGGACAGTTGCAAATTTTTAACTCATTGACAGTAAAACTACTAATCGTATTTGGAAGTATTTCCAGCTTGTACAATTGTCTCAAAAGAAAAATCAGGGCTCTGTGGCAGTTCTTTGACAAGATAGGTGTTCACTGAGCAGACACTGAGGACAAGTAGTACGAGTA